CTCTCTCCCAGTGAGCAACTAATTCAGTTTATTGAGCGGAGTTACGTACAATCTAAGGTCTCTAACCCTCAAGGGCCGTATGATCTAAGGTGCCTAACCCTCATGAGGGGGTGTACAATCTAAGGTAGCTAACCCTCAAGGGGCATACAGTCTAAGGTCTCTAACCCTCAAAGGGGGTACGATCTAAGGTCCCTAACCCTCAAGGGCTGTATGATCTAAGGTGCCTAACCCTCAAGGGGCGTACAATCTAAGGTCCCTAACTCACATTCATACATACACATATTAGGGACAATTTAGACAGGAGCCAATTAACCTACCAGCATGTCTTTGAAGTGTGGGAGGAAACCAGAGTACCTGGATGAAACCCACACAGGCACAGGGAGAACATGCAAACTCCAGGCAGCTGGTGCCATGGTTGGGATTCAAACCAATGACCCTAGTACTGCCAGGCAGAAGTGCTAACCATTTAGCCACTGTGCTGCCCCAGATTTAGCAAATCTTGGCTCATCTCAGAATTCAGCTTTAATAAAAAGATGTTTCATTGTCTTTCTATGTGGACATTATAATGAGAACACTTGCAATCGTGTTCTCAGCTTGTTCTATCCGTCCATCCCAATAAAGAAGGAACGATTCCAACACATGACCCCGGCTAGAAGTGGTCTGTGGCTTGTGCCGGGTTCTGCTTGGTGTGCAGTACGTTACGCTTCCTTACACAAAGCGAATGTTGGATTGAAATGTTCTCATTGCTTTATCTTCTTTAATGTGAACTGTGATGTCCCAGCATTTTCTCTGCGGTTTGGCATGAGGACTTCAGAAATAGAAACCTTATGGATGCATTGCTGAAAAATCGCCAGGAAATCCTTGATGCTCTTTGTCTGTCAGGGGATCAGCCCTGTATACTGGGTGGCACAGATAATATTTCGATGTTACCAATGGGGAAGCAGTGCTGGGCTGTAGAGGAGCAGGTGACGTCAGTGTCTTGATACAAGTTTATATTGACTCAATGAGACCCTCAACTCTTCTTTTGGAACCAGCAGTGGAGAAGTGACAGAGGCATGAGACCCACCATCTAGTCCTCTCTCTTGTAGTCCTGACAGATGCACACTTGCCCTCAATGCTCTGTTTAGCATCACTGCCATTTCATTCATCCCTTCTTCTAGGTTCACCCTCTTCCTTCTCCAACCATTGTGCGTCTACTGTTGATGTGCCTCCTGAAATATGTATTGAAGTTCCATCATCCTCTCTCTATTCTCTGCATCTTACAAAGTATAAGTCGTGCCTTTTTTTGGGAGCATGCACTGCACTGAGTATGCACCGCAGGTAGTATACACATAAAAAAATTGCTGGGAGAAAGTTAAAGAACTTAGTTGACAGCAAACACCTGCAAAGTCTGTTCTACTGAAAGGCTTCACCTTGTAGCTTTTTTTAGGATTTATTTTAAGTAAATATTCATTTACTTAAGCTTCAGTTCCACCAGACTACAGCACTGAGTGGTCTTCAGTTCCACCTGCGTCCAGCACTAAGTGGTCTTCAGTTCCACCTGCGTCCAGCACTAAGTGGTCTTGAGTTCCACCTGCGTCCAGCACTGAGTGGTCTACAGCTCCACCTGCGCCCAGCACTGAGTGGTCTACAGCTCCACCTGCGTCCAGCAGTAAGTGGTCTACAGCTCCACCTGCGTCCAGCACTGAGTGGTCTTCAGTTCCACCTGCGTCCAGCACTCAGTGGTCTTCAGTTCCACCTGAGCCAGCACTCAGTGGTCTTTAGTTTCACCTGAGCCAGCAATGAGTGATCGGCAGTTCTTTCTGTGTCCAGCACTAAGCGGTCTTCAGTTCCACCACTAAGATACCTGCAAAGTCTGTTTTTCTGAGAGAATTCATCTTGTAGCTTTAGTTTTCTATTTTCATCTTAAGGTTCAGGTCCACCTGAGTTCAGCACTAAATATTTTTCAGTTCTACCTCAAGAAGTAAATGGTCTTCAATTCCACATGAGTCTAGCACCTGAATCCAGAACTAAGTGGTCTTTATTTCCACCATCGTAAGGTTCAGTTCCATCTGAGTCCAAAACTAAGTTGTCTTCAGCTAATCCTGAGACCTGAACTTGCTACTCAAACCAACCTGTTGTGCTATTTCCCAACCCACCTTTGGATTACCTTTAATCTACTTTATTTGGCTATGTCTCTCCAGTTATGTATTTTTGACATGTTCCTGACTCCAGATGCCTGCTGACTCTGTACCCTGCTGCCTGTTAACATTTAACAACCTTGACTTGTTCATGACACTACTTCTGCCCTCCTGCACTCGTACTGCTGCTGGACCTGTATTGTTCCAGTTCATGTACACATGCACATATCAATTAGCGTGTGCACTTGGTGCCCAGTGCCTAGTCTGTTACTATGAGCAGTTGCTGAATGGTCTTAAGCTTGTTCCCATGTTCCTGAAACCTGATCCACTGTACCTGCTTACCTGTGTATGCCTGCTCCTCACCTCTGTTCCCCTAATTACTCTGACCCCGGCCTGTTTACTGGATTTGTCTTTGCCTGCTTATTCTGTACTGCTTTGCCAAGCTGTTACTGATCATGACCTACCTCCAGGACTAGCTCTGCCTGCTGATTTAGTCCCTCGCTTCCAATTTGTTGCTGACAGCCACCTTTCTGCTGGTCCTCCTTCTGTCTTCTGCTCTGATGCCAAGATGCTCCTGCATCCTGTTCCGAGGAGTGTGAACACCAGCTCTACCCACCTACAGAGTGGACATCAGCAGCCAACTACTCCAGCGTTTGTGCCACTCCTTGCCTTCACACTTTCTGTCTCTGTCTTCAGGAGTGTTGGGCGGAAGGTGCAAGAGAGGCCTTCACAACGTTCCAGTCTTCACCAGTTACGTGATAAGGGTGCTACAGCAGGGACAGTTGGACTGGATGTGCCACCCAGGGCTGCTGCTATAAACTACAGAGCCCCATACAGCCAACCTGACACCACTTGCATCACTGACCCTTGCTCTCTTCTGTCTGGGGGGCTCAAAGAATTATCTTTGCCTGAGTGTTGGCACCCCCCCCCAAAAAAAAAGCACAGTTTACTATGCTTTAGTTATGAATGAACACAGTAAGTGACTGGTACCAATCACTCATTGCGTTCATTCAGGAAAGGATGGGCCGGGTAAATGTGACGTATTTACCAGACCCTTCCACCACTCTCCATCTTCAAGGATCATATTGTGTGCTTGCAGCTGCCGCTAAGAAGAAGAGGGAAGCCAGCAGCACTGCAGGGGTGGGGTCAAACAGGAGGGCCTGGGCAGCATGGGAAAATGTATGGTGGGGGGGGCAATTACTGGAACAGAGTCCCTACATGGCTCTCCCTGCAGCAGCTGCAAGCCAGCGGGAGGGAGAGTAGAGGAAGCCAGCTTTCAGCTGCCGCTGAGAGAGCTATACAGGAGATCAGTTCAATTAATTGCCACCCCCACCACACCCATCATTCTCCCTGTGCACCATACATTTTCACATGCTGCCCAGGCCCCCCTGTTTAACCCCACTCCTACAGTGCTGCTGTCTTCCCTCCCTGATACACCCAGCTGCCTGGGCCCCCCTGTTGGCCTGGGCCCCATACAGGAAGGCCGTTGGTACCCCCTTATCCATGGCCCTGGTGCCACCACTTCATCTCAGTCTTCACCAGGTAGGTAAAACCATTGTAGAAGTAACATTAATAACTCCTTAGCATGGCCAAGAACCCAGGGCTGTCCATGGGCCTGGCACAGAAAGTTCAGAAGCCCTGACTGTGTTGCTGTTCTTCTTCCTGGCATACAGTGCCAAGAGGTCCCTGTGGTACAAAAAAGCATTCTTGGAAAGTTCCGTGGTTTCATGTCAAACAAACTCATGCTTTCTCTGAAGAACATTTCCCTCCAACGATGACACTGATTACAGTTTACAGCAAATATAAAGACATTATGATCCATCTTCCATCTTCTCTGTAGGAATTAAGGCAACTAAGAGTTAAATCTGAACATCTTGTGTGAACAATGGCGGACCTGGCAGAGCCACATCCAGACCTCCAACCCTAAACTGAGAAGACCCTGATATGGTGACCTGAGATTCAGGGTGTACACCTTGAGAAACATCTAATCCCCCCTCCCAGGTCTCCGAACATTTCCCAGGGAAGTCTGAACATTTCTGAATCTCTCCAGCAGCATCTGGTACGGATTGCTGACTCCTATTTACTCCGGGACATGCAGAAAATTAAGTTCACCGCTTAACGTGATTCTGCACGTTTTATCACTTTTACAGAAAATAAAACTTAATCCCTGTTGCTGTGTTTTGCGTTAAATGCGGGACATTTTCCAGACAGGAAGAGATGCCAGTGATCGTTGCAACTTGTCCTGCTTGTTTTCCATAAAAATAACACTTAGAAATTGTGACATAAGTTGGCAGAAAATGCTAATTTTAAACTGGATTTGACCTGGAGGAAATGTTTCAGTGATTTGCAAACATTTCACATTTACCAGAAAACAGATGCCAGTGGCCTGAAATTTACAACCGGCGCTCCGTCCAAACTGGCCCTCATGCTGCCTCGAATTAGTTGTGTCCACAGACCAGAGATAAAATGATCCAGCGTGTACTGTCCCAAAAATGTGTGCTCAACGGGACAGCCAAGAACAAAGGGGCCGTAATGAGTTGTGAAGTATTAGGCAGTTCTGGAGTTTTGCTACATTTTTAATGTCTAAATTATGGAGCCTCCATGGCCCCCAGCTGTATGGTCTATTTTCAAATGCCAATATATGCACTGGCATAGCTTCGTAGACTCAGTCAGTCTAAACAGTATGGCCACTTGCTGACTTGGCACCATCAACAGGCAAGGTAACTCTTCAATAAGACACCAAGGTTAAATCCAATTCATCTTTACTCCAGATAAGTGCTGTACAGAGGAGTTCTTTAAAACATAGGTCTGGTATGGATTTTAAGGGGAACCCCATTTCAATTTTTTTTTAACTACTTGCCAACAGCAGATAGCTGAATGACAGCTACACTGCGGCTGGCCAGTTCTGGGAGGGCGTCATATGACGTCCTCCCAGAACGCGCTCTCCTGCGCGCCCCAGGGGGCGCGCACCCGGCAATCTCCTTGATCTCCTACGGACACAACTGATCACGTGAAGTGGTAAAAGGTCAATCACAGTGGGCTTTTACCATGTGATCAGCCGTGTCCAATGACACGTTGATCATCGAGAAATGCAATTGCCGGTTCTCGGCTCTACTTTCCTCACGTTGTCAGAGCATGAGGAAAGTACTGCCGAGATCCGGCAGTTGTCAAAGCAGAGATCGGCACCGATCATCAGGGCACTGATGATCAGTACCCTGATGATCGGTGCCCAGCAGTGCCACCCACCAGTTCCGCCCACCTGTGCCCAGCAGTGCACCCTCCTGTGCCACCCAGCAGTGCCACACACCTGTGCCCAGAAGTTCCACCTACCTGTACCCAGCAGTGCCACCCACCTGTGCCTGCCCACCAGTGCCACCCACCTGTGCCCACCAGTGCCACCCACCAGTGGCCATCAGTGCAGCCCAGCAGTGCTGCCAGTCAGTGCCCAGCAGTTGTACTAGTCAATGCCTAGCAGTGCCGCCAGTCAGTGCCCAGCAGTGATGCCAGTCAGTGCCACTTATCAGTGCTGTCTATCAGTGCCACCTATCAGTGCCACCTATCCGTGACACCTCATTAGTGCTGCCTATCAGTGCTGCCTATCAGTGCTGCCTATCAGTGCCTATCAGTGCTGCCTATCAGTGCCCATCAGTGCCGCCTATTAGTGCCCTTTAGTGCTGCCTCATCAACGCACATCAGTGAAGGAGAAAAATTACCTGTTTGAAACATTTTATAATAGAAACAAATAAACTTTTTTTTTTTACAATTTTTTGTTTATAGCGCAAAAAGTAAAGCACCCAGCAGCGATTAAATACCACCAAAAGAAAGCTCTATTTGTGAGAAAAAAATTATAAAAATGTCATATGAGTACAATCTTGCATGACCGCGCAATTGTCAATCAAAGTGCGACAGCACTGAAAGCTGAAAATTGGCCTGGTAAAGAAGGGAATATAAGTGCCCAGTGGGCAAGTGGTTAAACTGGCGTGGGGTCCCCCCCAAATCCATACCAGACTCTTATCTGAGCATGCAGTCCGGCAGGCCAGGAAAGGTGGTGGTGGGGAATGAGTGAACCCCCCCCCCCCCCCCTTCTAAACTATGCCAAGTTTTTGGCACCTACGGGTGCTGACAAAACCGGTTTCCTCCCACATTCCAAAGAACATGCTGGTAGGTTAATAATTGAATCCTGTCTAAAATTGGCCCTAGTATGTGTATGTATGAATGTGAGTTAGGGACCTTCAATTGTACGCCCCTTGAGGGTTAGGGACTGATGTGAATGTATAATATATATATAATATATATGTAAAGCGCTGCGTAAATTGATGGCGCTATATAAGTACCTGAAATAAATAAATAAATAAGTTGAGACAAGGTTTGCAGGGTCAAGGATGGGCACAAGTAACAGGGTGCAGGCACTGAAGACTGGAAATTTGGGAGTGCAAGGTATGCCGAATCACAGGCAGGATCGGAATCAGGAACCAGCAGAAGTTGTCAATGTGCAGGCAGCAGATCCCAGCAGAAGTTGTATTGCAGGCCAGGTGCACAAAGTCGATGGGCAGAATCTTGGTCAGAAGTTCAGGCTGAGGTTGATAACAGAGGTGGGCAGCAAGCATAGGCAGATATAGTACAGGTAATCCAATAGCAGGTCAAGTGCAAGCCGGGTCAATAACAAGGTCAGTATAGGTTTCAAGATCAGGAATTGAGCAGAAAAGACTGAAAGACCTTTCAGCAATGCTCCTGTGCAGAGCTCAGTTTTAAATAGTCCTCTTGGCACCAGTGGACATGCCTCCATGCTCATGCGTACATTGTGACATGTGAGTGCTGGTGCACGTACCATTGGTCATGTAGTTAGACTCCTAAGCGGTAAACATGTGCATGCCTATGAGCATTATCCTGACAGCTGGCACGATGTTCTTGACAGAGGGTCTAGCTAGGACTGTACTAACTAGATTTTACAGGGGTGTCAAACTGGAGGCCCTCCAGCTGTTACCAAACTACAAGTCCCATCATGCCTCTGCCTTTGGAAGTCATGTTCGTAACTGTCAATCTTGCAATGCCTCATAGGACTTGTAGTTTGGCAACAACTGGAGGGCCACCCTGTGGCGTCCCAAGGCAGGTGCGGTGGGGTGCGGTCCACACCGGTTGACACCGACCGCACGGGGTGACACCGGACCCGCTCCAAAAAAAGGTAAGTTGTAAAGCAAGCCAATGATCCCCGCAGGATGGAGCCGACTTTCTTTACAACTTACCTTTTCTTGGAGTGGGCCCGGTGTCACCCCGTATAGCTTGCATGCTGACGACGGTGCGGGAATCGTCGGCATGCAACCTATACGGGGTGACACTGGTATAGCAGGAAAGATGTGTCTCCCATGTAGATGTCCCCCCTGAAGCAACTGCGCATGTCCCAGTTTCAGGCACAATCGATGATAGAACTACTGCTATCATCGATTGATCGTGCCTGAAACTGGGACATGCGCAATTACTTCAGGGGGGACATATCTACATGGGAGACACATTTTGCCGCTCAACCCGGACCCGCTCCAAGAAAAGGTAAGTTGTAAAGAAAGCAGACGATCCCTGCAGGAGTCTGATCCATTATGCTCAATCCGCAGATCCGATCCATTCTGCGGGGATCGTCGGAGGGGGTGTCACCAAGTGTTACCGCAACGGGTGACACCAACCCTAAGGATGCCTCTGGGGCCACCAGTGAACTAGAAGTAAACGGGAGGGGAAAACAGAAGACATCCACCAAAGGAACAAATAAACAAGTTGCTGTGGCACCACACTGCCAATAGGTGTCAGTAAATATCACAATAGTAATTATATAATGCAATACAAGGGCACAAACAGTCAAGCACATGATAAGCGATACAGAACACTTTAAACAAAATAGAGAAAACAGTTAAAATGGAAACCTTAGTCAACTAACATTCAAATGTTCATCGATTTATTTTACACAGTTTTCTATAAATTCCAAAGAATATTTTGATGAAAGCGGGAATGTGTGATTTACCTGATCTGGGCTGAGGCTGCAGGAAGGTGACCAAAGACAGAAAGCTGGGAATAAATGAAGCCAACAGCCATGTCATGTTTTATTTTTGCTAAGGAACGTCGACAAACAGCACTGGACCTGTAAGGTTATCTTCTGAAATCGGTTACTTTTCCCAATGCATTGATGTTGATGTAGGTGATTGGCTTCCCAGGCAGGCTACTTCTACACCCCAGAGGATCTCCATGGTTTCCTTGGCTAGTAGTGTATTGTAACAAAAATGGAAATTGAAGTGCCCAGGGGCGGACTGACCATTTGGAAACTCGGGCACTGCCCGAGGGCCCAGGGTCAGTAGGGGGCTGCATGAGATGCCCCTGGTACCTTTTTCATAGGCTTTTTTGAGTTTGGGCAAGGTCACAGGGGCCCATGATCCCCTATATTGCCGGGGGCCCCATGAGTTGTCAGTTCGCCCCTGGTATGATCGATGGTATGATCATATGGTATGGCCAATGGTATGACTGATGGTCTGATCATATGGTATGACTGATGGTATGACCAATGGTATGATCATATGGTATGACCAATGGTATGATTATATGGTATGACCGATGGTATGATCATATGGTATGACCAATGGTATGATTATATGGTAGGATCAATGGTATGACTGATTGTATGAAAGGACCCATGAGTTGTCAGTCCGCCCCTGGAAGTGCCACATCACTGTTTAAAGGCCCAGATACTACTTTATTCCAATAAAGGTCAGGGGAAAAAAATTTAAAAAGTACCAAGTTGTGTTTCGGAGATCAAAACCACCCCCTTCATTAGGGCAAAAAAAAATATCCCCATGGGAGGAGATAAACAAAAAGAAGTTCAAGCACCACACACCAGAAAGAGCCCAGGTGTAAGACAAATGAATGAAAGCGGCTCCAACCAGGCCACACACTGATGCGTTTCGTCCTGTCCTGGCTTGCTCATGGAGGTGGGGATCCCAGTTAGCCAATTGAACTTTAGTTTTTTTTTTCTACACCGAATTCCCACCTCCATGACTAAGCCCTGTGGGCAGGGTAAAATGCTTTGAGGAGGCGTGGCCTGGTTGGAGCCGCTTTCATGCATTTGCCTTACACCTGGGCTCTTTATGTTTATGTGTGCATATTGAGCCGGAACGGGCTCTCTCCACGCTGGCACCCTGGATTGGTCCCCATTATTGGAATGGGTCCTGGAGCGGCATCCAAAGCTTCCTCAATTAATGTCACCCTGGGAGGGAATACTACATTGATATGGAAATGTCCTTATGTTTTTTTCTAACCCTGATGAAGGGGGTGTGTTTAGACCCTCCAAAATTCATTCAATACTTCTTTGGTTGACTGAATAAAAGTGATGGGAAAATCCACAATTTTAAGTTGTCACCAGAACAGTTGATCCAGGGAATATTCAATTGCCTCTCGGGGATCAGGAAGGAATTTTTTTTCCCTGCAGGAGCAAATTGGATCATGGGGTTTTTTTTTTTGCCTTCCTCTGGATCAATGGTGGGTGTAGGATTATAACTTTTATTTTCTTTTTTGGTTGAACTAGATGGACTTTTGTCTTTTTTCAGCCAAACTAACTATGTAACTATATGTAACAGGAATATAGGGGAAATCGTCCAATGGGGACACTTGTTCCTATAACAACTTTCCTCTCATGTCCTGTTGTGTTACGGGAGAGAATGTGAAGAGAACTCTTCCCAATGGGGTGAAGAAGGCAAAATAAAAAACTTACGTAGGCTTTAACCATTCTATATTCTATGCAAAATTAGAAGAAAACGTTTTGGCTTTAGATAGACCTTAAGTTGGTTTAGTTTGCATTCAGTGTTTTCTAATTGCACATTTTTAATCTTGACAGCCCCGTCCAGCATGGTGTACAGGATGTCCATCACTCTCGGCAACACTTGTGCCATGACATCACAGATGCAGAATCCTGATTTAAGGCGGAGAATCGTTTTGCTGTCAAAATTGAGTGAATTTAATTCTTAATCCATCCAAGAGTCGGCCAAAAATGTGTTCGAACAGCTCCGGAGAGGTGTCAATTTTCCTCCATCGTTTCTTTCTCACCATCACTTATTAAAGCCTTCTTAGAATTTATAGATTGTCTTGCGGTGAACACGCTGGATTCTGAACAGCCCAGACTGAAACATAAAGAAATGTTATGCGGCCGCGGTGTCCGCCATGAGAGGGTCAAGACGGTTATTGGCAGCGTTAAGTTGGAGGTTTGTCTTTGTGTGAGAAGAACGGGAGCTGAACTCGAATTTATGGTTTGGGGTAAATTTTGGAGAGGTTATTGCCATGGTCAATGTGGATTCTGGTGTCCCATCCATGAACATCGGTTGGGGAGGGGGGGGGGGGGAGCGTGCAAAAAAGAACTAACCACTGTTATGGAACTCTAGCTTTGTCTCTGTTAAAACGATCTGCAAATTTTGGCTAATGCGATAAAACAACAAACTAGGGAAGTTATAACTATTAAAATATATATTCCTTACTGACGTTTCTCACTGATTGGTGGACAGAGCAACTTTAA